ACATCAGCTTCCTCAGGGCTCTTGTAAACAGATGCCATCTTTAAAAAAAATCATGGTCCACATTGCCGGGTGTCAGAGCCTCAGTAGTGAGTGAGCAACCAAGGCTGGAGCTCGCAGCATGAGCGCACAGCACTGCTGTTCAGCATGTGACCACAGCATCACCTAATATTGTCAAAATATATATATAATCTGTTTTATTTAGCCATGATAGTATTATAGATGAGCCCGAGTGCAATAATGACTGGGTACAATGTTCAAATATCAGTGATTCAATGCTGTCACGATGTTCACAGCGCTAGCCACAGCACCACAGCATTATTTCGTCCATCTAGAAATCTTCAAACGACTTTTTAGGTTCCTTTTCAAAATAAACTTGTGGTCAATTATTTACAGGTATTAGTGACCAGGATTGTGGTTATAATTAGCGTTGTGCGTAGGAAGGAGGAAGGGAGAGAATTGAGGTAGCCTCACTGTGTGGCAATAACTCTTGTTTTGCTTACCATACTAGCTTCGTGGTTCGCTATGGGGAACACACATGTACACGAGTATATACAGTGTGTGTGAATAGTGTAATAACAGCACCAGAAGTATGTTGTGAGGAGCTATTTTGGTGAGGGAGGTGACGTCGTAATCGTGGCGTCGTCTGCTGTGTGATTTGTCATGCAGTATGTTAACCTAGTTATGTTTTGCGGGGTTGAGCTTTGCTCTTTCGGCCCGCCTCAACTGTCAATCAACTGTTTACTAACTACTTTTTTTTTTTTCCACGCCACACACACACACACACCCCCTAGGAAACAGCCCGTGACAGCTGACTAACTCCCAGGTACCTATTTACTGTTAGGTGACAGGGGCATTCAGGGTGAAAGAAACTTTGCCCATTTGTTTCTGCCTCGTGCGGGAATCGAACCCGCGCCACAGAATTACGAGTCCTGCGCGCTATCCACCAGGCTACGAAGTCTCTTTGTATGGTAGTGTATGGTAGCCACTGTACTGTTTGGACACAATACTAGCTTACTTGCATAGTTCTGGTAAATTAAACATGTAGATAGGTATATATAACGTGTAAATAGTGTAATAAGTACAATAACAGTATGGTGGGAGGAGCAATGTTGGCGAGTAAGATGTTGGAGTGAGGGAGGGCTGACTGGCTGGGTGTGGCTGCTCACACGCGCGGTGTTCTGAATGTGTTGATGGTGAATGTATATAGTGTGTGACAGTGTATAGTTTGTACATATGTTGTAAATATACATAAATTAACATGAAACATTGGTGTAAATAATTGTATGATTTGGAAGAGCAATGTTGGTGAATACAATGTTGGAGGAGTAAGAGAGGGCTGGCTGAGTGTGGCTGCTCACACTCGCGGCGTTCTGAATGTGTTGATGGTGAATGTATATAGTGTGTACATATGTTGTAAATATACATAAATGAACATGAAACATTGGTGTGAATAACTGTATGATTTGGAGGAGTAATGTTGGTGAATACAATGTTGGAGGAGTGAGGGAGACTAGCTGGGTGTGACAGCTCACACTCGCAGTGTTCTGAATGTGTTGATGGTGAATGTATATAGTGTGTGACAGTGTATAGTCTGTAAATATTGTATATATACATAAATTAGCATGATACATGGTAAATATGTGCAACATATATGTACACAAGTGTCATGCATGTAACAGTGTCCTCAGACAGTACGGATGTTTTACTGCCATAATATAGTGTACGTGTTCATTATACATAGGAAAAGCACGTAAAACAAATAAAATGTATTTGGAACTGTGCGCAAAAAGTGAACAAAAATATATTCGCGGCAACTTGCGCGCCCCGCCCCGGGAGCTTACGGCACGGGCGGAGAATGATGCTGTCACGCGCCAACTTACGGACCCCATAGCAGCCAAAGCAAGTACAAGTTCGAAATTTTTTTGACATGCCCATACTGGGGGAAGGGTTTTTGAGAAAAAAAAAAAAATCAAGAGAATTTACTTCCTGCGCACTGGGGGGGGGGGGGGGGGGGTCATTTATAGGCCGCACAGTTAAAGGGTTAAGGGTTACAGGGCATGACAATCTTCTAAGTTTCTTATCTTCCTTATTATCTTAGCATCATCAGCTAACATATTTATATAATTCTGTATTCCAACTGGTAGATCGTTTATGTAGACAATGAACATTACCGGTGCAAGAACTGAACCCTGTGGTACTCCACCCGTGACATTTCTCCAGTCCAATACATTGCCTCCGATTACTGCCCCGCATTGTATCTATCCTTTTTTTGCCACATGGCACCACCATATTACTGCCCCGCATTGTATCTATCTTTTTTTTTGCTTTTTCTCCCTGTGGGTCTCGGGGGCACCATGTACATGAGCTGGGCGGGCAGGTGGAACACTTCTGTGACCTGAGCCACTATCTTGACATGTGCCGAGATACTAGCACTGGTTACATCACGTATGCCATGTTTCCCTTGTTTCCATCTTTTCCTTCCTTCATCAAGATATGGCCAAAATGCTTTGCATACTAGTGGCTTTATTAAATATGGAAATGCATAGCTATTTCAACTAAAGGTGCCTCAACACCCGTCCTCCGACATGAGAGGCAAATGCTCTACTGACTGTACTGTATGCGGATGCTCAATTCATCTTTCACGTTAGAGGTCGAGGTGTTCGAGACACCTATAGCCCAATGTGAATGAAATGTTATATTCATGGTAATGTGGTATACGGTTTATATCTAAGTACAGTATGCAGTTTACATTACTATTCATCCACTGTACAATGTTCTGAATATTTTTAAAATGAAAATGATTACCAGTTTTGTTGTTATTACATATGTGGTTTGTTTTCATTTGCCTGTACAGAACTTTATTGGCAGTTCTATTTTTAAGAAGCTGTATGCTGCTAACCCAGACTCCTCTCATCTCTATAAGCACATCAGATTGATTCCGGTGTTTGGTAAGCCTGTGGAAATCCATAAGCCTGGAAATTGTGGCTGACCAGGAGGCCTGGTCAGAGACCAGACTGTGGGGATGTTGATCCTCAGAACCACCACAAGATGGTTATAGCACCAGTCGGTGCACTGGGAAGGTTTCATCCACAAAGGAGCATTTCTTTACACTGCTAATTTTTGTCAAGAATCAGTCCACTGGTATTCATCAGTCCTATCTGACTGGGATAGGGGAGGGAGGAGGGCGAGTATTAAGCCCTCTGTTGCAATATTTCCTTGATATTCAAGCATCTCAAACTGTAGCTATCTTTGTCAATCCCATTTCACTGGTGCCTTGCTCCAAGGTAAGGCACTCAGACCGAGTGTGCTGTTACTACCTTCTTTGTTAACACGTCTACAGCTAATATTCGGGCTGTTTCTGCCAGTTGGCTGCTCATTACCTGTTTAACGTTCCCTAGCCTCACCAGGTCGGTATGGCAATTGGGCACCTTGCCATTTGCCGAGTACATCCATTCCAGAGCCCAGGATTTCTGGCTTCCTCACCCCAATGGTCAGTCCATTCCTTTGGTCCTTTTAATACCATGAACAGTTTCATCTTAAAGACTGTTTTCTCTCTGAAGTATCATTAAGTGCATGAATCGGGTAGCTGCTGAGTCGGCCCAGAAACCAAGCATTCAATGTAAAGAAATGCCATTTTCTGGTTGGCCTCTGTAGCTCCCATTACCTACCCATAGGGAATTGTTAGTGCCTTGGGGGTGGGACATTAGTGAGAAGGCAGATAGGATGGACCCCTAGGTGACCCCGAGCTGCTACCTCGACATGCACTTTATTACCAGGGGCCCATCCAGAGATCACATTGTCTAACTACCTACCACTTAAAACAATAATTGCTCAGCTAGTGAATATTTTCACTATTACAGTATTTGCAAATTACCAGCTGCAAAAATGTGAAAGTTTTTTTTTTTTTAATTACTGATAGACCAATCATGTGCACACATTTCAATATTTATTTGTGTTGAAAAATATGAGGAACATTGGTTGAAATTTTCATACCAATTTAAATATTGAGCACCGACACACTATTACAATACAGTGTTAAGACATTTTGTATGGCATCTATACTTTAGCAAATTAATTTGTGAAGGTTTTAGTTATAACTAAAATTAATTAAAGAAAAAAAATACTCCACAGAACAACAATTGAGGCGTTACTGAGCGAACCCCGAGACGCCCGGAAAGGTAAAGTGAAAACAAAGGTGCAACATTTTTTTGTTTTGCCAGCATGTTCTTGGATGGTGCTACTACTCAGTTTTGGGTTGATCTTGGATCAACATGTACCTCTTGCCTCTATAAGCACACCAGATTCTGATCTTGGCATTTGGTAGGCCTAGGCAAGTCCAGTGGCCTGAAAGGTCTGTCTGTGGTACCAAAGCTAATGTACATACCAGGAAGCTACCTAGGACCAGCCCCCAAAAAACTACAGCACTTGCACCAGTCTACAGAATGAAACTATATAAATCCCAAAAACTATCTGAATATACCTTTACTATATAGTACTGTACTCCAAAAAACAAACATTAATTTATTTTTAATTTTCCCCTAAGTGCACAGCTCTTACAGAAGCAAGTTATTGTTTATTGACAGACTTAAGGGGTTACAGTTATATCAATTATATCTTTTGAGGTAGATGTATGATTCCAAGACTATAGAATGACACTAGTGCACACCTAGAATAGTAAATTATGGGTAATAAAGGGCGTCTGGAGACTAGTACAGGAAACTTACCCGTTTCCGGTCTAAGAAAAAACAAAAAATACAGTACTGTACAGTACACTATGTATTTACAAATGAACAGAAAATGCTACCAACACATACATCACAACCATGATACCTTGCATATTATAATAAAATCTTAACAGTCATATGATTCCCTAAATATTAGTCCTCAAACATGTGAGTAAAGTTCCTAGTCTCCAGACAAACTGATCTGGTTGAAAATTTACAAGCCCACTAAAATAGTGTTCTAAATACATAAATTAAAAAGGAAAGCTTCAAACTTACTCGTTTGTTCAGCTTCAGCCATGTGGTGTAACCCTTGGAATCAACATATTGTAGTCCAAAGAACCAGATCTCACGAAGGCCAATGGTTTTGACCACCTGATCAAATAATTGCTTGCCTGTTGTGTTGGGCTGGATCGCGAATTCCAGCTCCGCGTCCATGGTGGTGACCCGAACATTTACCTATGGACAGAGATACAAACTTTTATTTTCTCAAGATATAGTACACTTATTTGCACATACAGTACATTTAAACAAGTTGTGAAAGTATTGCTGGTGTTTAAGCTAAAAGTAAATTTCATCATTGCTGAAATGAATATAAACAACAAGGTTAGAAATGTTTCAATGACAAGCAAAGGTCAACCCCCTAGCTCCAATATTTTCAGATACAAACAGGATGCCTTTTGTGGTGGTGGTGGTACGAGCATGGGGGTTGCTTCCACAACTTTACAATGCATTCCACATTCTGACAACTTGTCTAGTATGATTATTTCCCTGCATTTCTTAAGACATATCTGCACTACATCTTTTAGTTATACTTTCTCTTGTTCCTTCCCTTCCAATTGTCCACCATTGTCTATTCAAGAATTTTGTATTAAGTAATAATATGCTCTTGTAAATTTTCTCCTCAAAGTGATGTTCCTTAACCTCGCCAAGTTGCCTAGTCCTCTTATATCGGGCACTTGCTGCAAACCCACGAACTTTTTCAAGTTATGTCTTGCGCTTCACGAGGGGTGTGTTCCATACCAGAAATATGTATTTAGTAATACAATACCTCACATAGGTTGCAAAAGTGTATCGAGTCATTATTTAAGTTGTAAATGTCTGGGAGAGGCTAATGGTGACTGGTGCGAGTGTGGGGGTACAGGTGGTGGTAGTGGGGCAAGTGTGGGGGAGAGGGTGGGGGGGGGGGAAGAGGGTGGGGGGAAGAGGGTGGGGGGGAAGAGGGTGGGGGGGAAGAGGGTGGGGGGGGAAGAGGGTGGGGGGGGGGGAAGAGGGTGGGGGGGGGAAGAGGGTGGGGGGGGGAAGAGGGGGGGGGGGGGGGGAAGAGGGTGGGGGGGGGAAGAGGGTGGGGGGGGGGGAAGAGGGTGGGGGGGGGGGAAGAGGGTGGGGGGGGGGAAGAGGGTGGGGGGGGGAAGAGGGTGGGGGGGGGAAGAGGGTGGGGGGGGGAAGAGGGTGGGGGGGGGGAAGAGGGTGGGGGGGGGGGGAAGAGGGGGGGGGGGGGGGAGAGGGTGGGGGGGGGAAGAGGGTGGGGGGGGGAAGAGGGTGGGGGGGGGAAGAGGGTGGGGGGGGGAAGAGGGTGGGGGGGGGGAAGAGGGTGGGGGGGGGGGAAGAGGGTGGGGGGGGGGGAAGAGGGTGGGGGGGGGGAAGAGGGTGGGGGGGGGGAAGAGGGTGGGGGGGGAAAGAGGGTGGGGGGGGGAAGAGGGTGGGGGGGGGGAAGAGGGTGGGGGGGGGGAAGAGGGTGGGGGGGGGGAAGAGGGTGGGGGGGGGGGGGAAGAGGGTGGGGGGGGGAAGAGGGGGGGGGGGGGGAAGAGGGTGGGGGGGGGGAAGAGGGGGGGGGGGGGGGGGGGAAGAGGGTGGGGGGGGGGAAGAGGGTGGGGGGGGAAGAGGGTGGGGGGGGGGAAGAGGGTGGGGGGGGGGAAGAGGGTGGGGGGGGGAAGAGGGTGGGGGGGGGGAAGAGGGTGGGGGGGGAAGAGGGTGGGGGGGGGGAAGAGGGTGGGGGGGGGGAAGAGGGTGGGGGGGGGGGAAGAGGGTGGGGGGGGGGAAGAGGGTGGGGGGGGAAGAGGGGGGGGGGGAAGAGGGTGGGGGGGGGAAGAGGGTGGGGGGGGGAAGAGGGTGGGGGGGAAGAGGGTGGGGGGGAAAGAGGGTGGGGGGGGGGAAGAGGAAGAGGGGGGGGGGGGAAGAGGGTGGGGGGGGGAAGAGGGTGGGGGGGGGAAGAGGGTGGGGGGGGGAAGAGGGTGGGGGGGGGGAGAGGGTGGGGGGGGGGGGGAAGAGGGTGGGGGGGGGAAGAGGGTGGGGGGGGGAAGAGGGTGGGGGGGAAGAGGGTGGGGGGGGGAAGAGGGTGGGGGGGGGAAGAGGGTGGGGGGGGGAAGAGGGTGGGGGGGGGAAGAGGGTGGGGGGGGAAGAGGGTGGGGGGGGGAAGAGGGTGGGGGGGGGAAGAGGGTGGGGGGGGGGAAGAGGGTGGGGGGGGGGAAGAGGGTGGGGGGGGAAGAGGGTGGGGGGGAAGAGGGTGGGGGGGGGAAGAGGGTGGGGGGGGAAGAGGGTGGGGGGGAAGAGGGTGGGGGGGGAAGAGGGTGGGGGGGAAAGAGGGTGGGGGGAAGAGGGTGGGGGTGGGGGGAAGAGGGTGTGGGGGAAGAGGGTGGGGGGAAGAGGGTGGGGGGAAGAGGGTGGGGGGAAGAGGGTGGGGGGAAGAGGGTGGGGGAAGAGGGTGGGGGGAAGAGGGTGGGGGGGGGGGGAAGAGGGTGGGGGAAGAGGGTGGGGGGAAGAGGGTGGGGGTGGGGGGGGAAGAGGGTGGGGGTGGGGGGGAAGAGGGTGGGGGTGGGGGGGAAGAGGGTGGCGTGGGGGGGGGGGAAGAGGGTGGCGTGGGGGGGGGGGAAGAGGGTGGCGTGGGGGGGGGGGGGGAAGAGGGTGGCGTGGGGGGGGGGGGGAAGAGGGTGGCGGGGGGGGGGGGGGAAGAGGGTGGCGTGGGGGGGGGGGGAAGAGGGTGGCGTGGGGGGGGGGGGAAGAGGGTGGCGTGGGGGGGGGGGGAAGAGGGTGGCGTGGGGGGGGGGGAAGAGGGTGGCGTGGGGGGGGGGAAGAGGGTGGCGTGGGGGGGGGGGGGGAAGAGGGTGGCGTGGGGGGGGGAAGAGGGTGGCGTGGAAGAGGGTGGCGTGGGGGGGGGGGAAGAGGGTGGCGTGGGGGGGGGGAAGAGGGTGGCGTGGGGGGGGGGGAAGAGGGTGGCGTGGGGGGGGGGGGAAGAGGGTGGCGTGGGGGGGGGGAAGAGGGTGGCGTGGGGGGGGGGGGGAAGAGGGTGGCGTGGGGGGGGGGGAAGAGGGTGGCAGTGGGGTGGGGGAAGAGGGTGGGGTGGGGGAAGAGGGTGGGGTGGGGGAAGAGGGTGGCGTGGGGGAAGAGGGTGGCGTGGGGGAAGAGGGCCTCCCCCCCTGGCACCCTCTGTGCCAGGGTGTGTGTGGGGGAGAGAGGGTGGTGGGGAGAGAGGGAGGGGCATGACAACAAAGGTGATCAGGGTTCAACAAGACAGCCAGCCAGCCACCAGTATCTGGTGGTGGATGTGGGCTGCGAATGTGTGTCAACAGGTGAGTTGCACAGCTGCATACACAGCCTGTGTGCCAATCAACCGGTACCATGTTATGTGCCACACTTACATGCAAAATCAACTGAGCAACTTAATATGCCTTAAAATTGAGGCATATAACACAAGCAGTTGCCTCATTATCTCAACCTAGAATTTTGTCGACACAGGACACTTCGTGACCTTTGTGTGTGAAGGTTTATCATACCACAACCATTAGTCTTCTCCAGGTAGGAAGGAAACCTTTCGCCCACCTCATTAGCCCTCGGATGGTGAAAGACCAGAGATTCTGTTCATATGGTGTACAGGACAGTAATTTATATGATGACTTCACACACTACAGAAATTATTAGGCTATGTTATATGAAAATATACAAGTTATTATCATTAATTCGCACGCACGCGACCGCACGCGCACGGTTGGAACAAGTTAAATTGTCAAGGTGGAGGCTAAAACTGTCGGTGGTTACAAAGCGTTAAATGACAGTGCTGGGAAGACGGGACACCATGAGGTCGGGAGTCAGTACATTAGACAACCGACGGTTAGAAAACGGGGTCCAGGAGCTAAAAGCTTTATCCTGCATCTGCAAATAATTTATAAAAAAAAAATTATTAGAGGAATTGACAGGGTAGATAAAGATAGATTATTTAACACGGGTGGTACGTGAACAAGGGGACACAAGTGGAAACAGTACCCAAATGAGCCACAGGGACATTAGAAAGAATTTTTTTCAGTGTCAGCGTAGTTAACGGATGGAATGCATTAGGCAGTGATGTGGAGGAGGCAGAATCCATACACAGTTTCAAATGTAGATGATAGAGTAAGCAAGGCAGTAAGCTCAGGAATCTGTACACCAGTTGATTGATGGTTGAGAGGCGGGACCAAAGAGCCTGAGCTCAACCCCCGCAAGCACAACTTGAGTACAAAGGCGCACAGCTGGAGTACCCAGGTTGTTTAATCGAATCCTCGCATGGCTAAAGTGACCAGCGGAGTCCCACGGGGCTCTAAGTACCCATCCTGTTTCTGATATATGTAAACGATCTTCTAGAGGGTATAGACTCCTTCCTCTCAATGTTCACTGATGATGTAAAAATTATGAGAATAATCACGACAGATAAGATACAGACGACCTGGAAAAACTGGAGGAATGGTCTAGAAAATGGCTACTAAAGTTTAACTCGGGCACGTGTCAAGTAATAAAATTAGCGGAAAGGAGGCCGAACACAAGGTACCGTCTGGGAGTTGAAATCCCTACACGTCAAATAGAGAAAGATATGGGGGTTGATATCACACCAAATCTGTCCCCAGAAGCCCACATCAAAATTATACCTGTATCAGCAGCAGTATATGCTAGATTGGTCAACTATTGCCTTTAGAAACTTGTGTAAGGAATCGTTCAGAACCTTGTATACCACTCAGATCAATTGTATCAATCCTGGAGTCCTAACCTAGTTAAACACAGGACAAAAAGAGAAGAATCAGATGTAAGCCATCAGACTGGTTCCAGAACCGAGAGGTATGAGTTACGAGGAAAGGATACAGGAGCTAAACCTCACATCCCTCGACAGACAGAAAAGCAAGGGAAAACACGATCACTACCTACAAAATTCTTAAGAGGAATTGGTAGATGCCCAGTCTGACCAGGCCAGGCCAGGCCTCCTGGCCGACAGTCTGACCCACCACACTTGGACGGTGTTGTACACACTGACTTATGAATCACTGCATAATTCATCACGCATATTTTGGAGGTGTACAATTGGTTCCCTGGTGAATGATTAGAGGTCTGTTACTAATGCCACTAGTATTTAGTATTTAGAGGAGAGGGTGGGAGAGGCTGGTTTAAAAGTCTTATGTCAGGTCATACTCCACACTACCTAAACTTGTCCGATCTAA